CAATAGTTTGGCCCCAACCTCCCCTTCAATCTTATCTCCTCCTACTCCCCAGGACAAGTCCTTCACTTATCCCCATCGACACTGGCCATGGGCAGCTCTGCCAGTTCCCTCTGCTGTAAATGAGATTAGATGTGACAATCTGTGGCAGGTCTCTCTACTGTGACCCTCTAGGAAGGAAGCCACTCAGTTCTTTCAGCAAGAGGTACCCCAAATCTCCATTGTCACCTGTGTCAGGCTGAATAGGCACCCCAACAAGTGAAGGGGGAAAAGCCCCTCCTTGGGAGCTGTCAGGCATGCTGAGCTTGTCAGGGTGACTTCCCCAATGTAACCTGAGAAAGAAACTGTAGAGGAGACACTTGGCAGCCGCCTGTCTTTTCCTCTGCTTGGGCAGGTCAGCTGTTACCCCAGGGCTGGGCTGGCAGCTGGCCTGGTCAGCTTCCTGAGGGAGAGGTCAAACAGGATCCCAGCTGTCCCCACCACAGAGCTCAAGGGGTCGCTTAGGCCTGGTCAACCCCATGTCTTGTCTTTCCTTGTCCTCCCCCTTCTGTGGCTACGGGGGGGGGAGGATGGCATGGCTGGATTAACACAGCCCTTTTCAGGGGCCCCTTCTTCATGTAGAAGCAGAGAATGCTAGAGTTAAAAGGGCCACTAAAACAGAGAACAGGGAATGTTGGAGTGGGAAGTACTCCTAGAACATAGAATGTCAGAGCTGAAAGGAACCTTCAAACAGAAAGATATTCACAGATCTGGGAAGGATTTTAAGTGATTATCTAGTAAAATACTCTCATTTTACAGGTGAGGAAACTGAGACCCACAAGAGAAGAAAAGGGACTTACCAACTGGTTAGAGGTAGCTGGTGGTATAGTGGATAGAGCACTAGGGGAGTCAGGAAGATCTGAATTCTAATCTAGCCTCAGACACTTCCTATTTGGTAATTCACTTCACCTCTGTTTACCTTAGTTTCCTCAATTGTAAAATGAAGCCAGCCTCACAGGGTTGTTGAGAGGATCAAATGAGATGATATTTGTATTGAAAAAAAGTGCTTAACACAGTGCCTGGCACAGAATAGGCGCTATATAAATGTTTATTCTCTCCCTCACTAGTTAGTTACAGATTCCTGAATCCTTTATGTAGCACCTCTCTGCTGCCCCAAACTGCCCAATAGCCATAGCTGCTAAGGAGTGGGGAGGGGGAGAGGGGCTGGAAAACCAGGATTAAGGTACTGCCTCTGTTGGAAATCAGGATAGGTGAAGGGGTGATGTGACCACCCTCCCAAAGGCAATAGAAAGCTGGGGAAAAGAGCTCCAAAGGCCAGAGGAACTGAGAAAGAGGGCAAGATAGACTTCAGCTCCTCTCTAACAGGAGGAGATTGGCCTAGTTGGCCTCCAAGGTCCCTTCTAGTTTCAGATGTAGGAGCCAGCTGGGGGTGAAACTGACTAGCAAAGCAGGTTGTGGCATTGCAAATCCCTCCCTCCCGATGGCCTCCACTGCTCAGCCCTTATTTCTTCAAGCCTTGAGCATATATTTGCTTTGTCCAAGAAGGGCCACCTATGCATCAGGCACTTGTATTTGCATCCTTGCTCTGGAATCCCTTTGCCTCCCCTATTCCTTCCCTTCCCATGAGCAAATAAAAAAAGCTGCAAGCTCTCTCTGTGCAAGAACTATGAAAATGAGAGAAGATGGAGAGGAGGCTAGAGGATGGCTCCCTGGTTCCAGTGGGTTTCCTAATTGGTTGCTTCAGTTTGTTGTACTTGGAGTCATGAAGATCTAGGTTCAAATCCTGCCCTTGATACTGATTTGCTGTGTGACCCTGGACCAGTCAGGTCCAGAGAAGCTACCTCTGTGGGCCTCAGTTTCTTCTTTAGTAAAAGGAAGGAATTGGAACAGATGACCTCTGAAGTTGCTTCTAGCTCTTTTATGTGTGGCATTGGGTCAGTCCTTTCCCCTCCCTGGGCCTCTATTTCCTCATCTGCAAAATGAAGGGGTAGGGGTGGAGGTGGGGAAAAACTGAATTTTCTTCCAGGGCTGGCTCTATGATGCTCTGATCTTCAAAGGGTCCATTTCAGTTAGAACCTGGAGAAAATTTTCTAACTGAGCCAACTTTCTCCAGCCAAGTTACGGTTAATTACCAAAACAGCAGCTCCTGCCCAGAATGCCTTGACCAGCTGTGACTGGCACTTCCACGGTGCCAGGCAAGGCTGAATATTGGAGTCTTGAAGCTTGTGACTGGGATGCACTGATCTTTCTAAGCCATGTGGAGCTGCCCAGGAGCATGCTTGGTGTGAGGGATCCGACAAAGAAATGAGCTAGGAACACCGGACTTTCCAGGCTAGCAGCCACTGAATTGTAGAGCAAAGTCTTGCTTGATTTCTGCTCACTTTCAGGAGCTCTGAAGGCTGGGCTCAGGGCATCCCCACTCAGAAGGGTGCCATTCCTTTCTAGTACAATTTTATGGCACCCCCCCCAAATCCCATCCCATTGAAATCCTGCCCATCTGGAACCAACATGGTGAGAGCCCCCCGTCTGTGCTTGGAATCAGTCAGAGGACCTGAATTCCAATCATGACTGCTGTTCATTAGCTATGTGACTTTGTACATATCCTGGACCTTCAGTTTCCTCATGTATAAATGAGGCAAGATTGGTCCTTTCTTCGGATCTGGATCCAGAGATAGAAGGGTCCTCAGAGGCCACTGAGTCCAAATGGAGGCCCAGGGAAGGGAAGTGATTTAGCCAGGGTCACACAGATAATACCTGATGTAGGATTGGAATGGAGATCTCCTGACTCCAGAGCTCGTATTCTTTCCCCCCTTCCAACTAGGGGTCCTATGACCTTTCAAGTCATGGTGTAGGGGAGAAAAGTAGGCTTGAGCTTGGGTTCAAGTCCTGTCTTTGTGTTAATTCCTGTATGACCTTGGGAAGGCACATCCCTTCTCTGGTCTCAGGTTCCTTCTCCAAAATTGGGAGCCAAGGTGATCTTGAAGGTCCCAGGCTTTGGCCTCTCTTTGAAATTGATTTGCGGGCAGAAAAAGTCACCCAAAAGAAAATGATTCCTATTAGCCCCTCCTCCCCACTTTCCACTGCACTCTTCCTCAGCAGAAGCTGAGTAAGTCTGCACATTACTACCTGGGTGACCTTGGGCAAGTCACCCATTTTCCCTGCACCTCAATTTCCTCCTGCTCTACAAATGAAGTGGTTTGAACAGATGATCTCTTGGGCCTCTCCCAGCTCTGAACCCATGACACATACAAGGAATGAAATAGGCCCCAGCCCAAGCAATCTCAGAGGAATCTATTGGTAGAGATGTGTATTAAAGGGGAGTAATTCTTGAATCCCAAACGGATGGGAGTTATTTATACCTGCTGCTGTTTGCCTGGTGTGTGTGGGGGTAGGGGCTGTGGCAGAATCCTGATTCTCTCAAAGCCTCCTAAGTGATGTATTTTTTGCTCATGGAGAAGGTCAGAAGACCTCTTGGAGCCTGAGGTGGTAGCCAGGAGAAGTGGCCAGTGAAAGATGGCAGGGTGTGATGGGATTAGCTCTAGAGTCCCACAGTGAGGGAAGTGGGGGGGAGGTGTTGAAGGCAGATGGCCAGGGGAGGAGAAATGGGCTCTGGTTTGTATTGGCTAATCCCCAGAAGGCAGCGGCGGTGGCGGCAGGGTGGGGGGGCCATCAGTGAAAACACACAAGGTTTGCTCAGTCTGCCCAGCCCACCATTTGCTGAGAGATTTTGCTACAAACCAGCTGCCACTGTGGGGCTTAAAAGGCCCATCCGTTGACTGAGATGTTTAATTTCCTGTGAAGAGATGAATCTATTTGGCTTGAAAAGAGCTCTGAGGCATCGCCACCCCATTGTGGCCCTTCCCAGAGCTGGTGCACGTGGCCAATCTATCAGCCTCACCATCGTCCTCCTCTTTCTCATTACTCTGTGAAGCTCAGGGCTCTGGCTCAGGTCACATGCCTCATCCCTGTTGGCATTTGGGCTTAGAACCTGCTGAAAGCGGCAACATTGTCAGATTAATTCAGAAGGCAGAAGCAAGAATGTCAGCATAGGGAGGGGCCTTAGACCAGGGGATGTCAGAGCTGGGAGCGCCCTTAGAACAGAAAATGTCAGAGCTGAGATGACTATTAAAGTAGGAGATGTCAGAGCTAGGAGGGGCTTTAGAACAGGAGATGTTAGAGCTGGGCAGGACCTTAGAACAGGAAATGTCAAAGCTGGGAGGGCCCTTAGAACAGGGGATGTCAGAGCTGGGAGGGGCCTTGATCTAACCCCTTTAATGGACCAATGATAAAATTGAATGATAAGAAGTGGACCTAAAGGGGGCAGCTAGGTGGCGCAGTAGATAGAGCTCTGGCCTTGGAGTCAAGAGGACCTGAGTTCAAATCCAGCCTCAGACACTTGACACTTACTAGCTATGTGACCCTGAACAAGTCACTTAACCCCTTTGCTTAGCCAAAAAAAAAAAAAGTGTACCTAAATCCAGAAATCCTTTGAGCCCAAACCTCCCTGACTTCAAGGCTAGCCTGCTTCCCTCTATGGCAGGCAACCTCACATGGTGAGGCTGGATTTCTGTCCTCTAGGTCATCAGGCTTATCTAAACATTTGCCAACAGGAATTGTGGGAAAGTGGGGAGAAATCAGGGGACTTTCCAGGCCATTTGATATGTAATATCAATTCCCTCTCCTACCACTGCCCCCAATTGCATGACCGGGTGATTTGCCACTATTGCTTTGAAGTATCCATCCTAAGGCACTTACCTCAGCCATCATTTCCCATCCTAAGGTGGTCATTTCCCAACAGGCTCCTCCTACCACCTTGCCTGCCCAATGAATGTGTCCAGACAAAGAATACCAGTTAAGCAGAAGCAACCAGCAAAGTGACACTGTCCAATGGCATATGCAGTGTTCCCCATCCATAGGCTCCCCCTCTCCAAGGAAGGATTCCTCCTGTTTTCCCGGGTCAAGATTGTGACCCTTATTTACTGACAGTTTCCTCTCTTTTCCAGAGAGACCCAAGATCTATGAAAAGGAGACAGACCTGAACAAGACTCAGCCGGTATTTCTGGGCAGTGAACACATCCTCCGCTGTACGTCAAGTGGTACCCCGCCACCAACCTTTCGATGGGCTTGGGAGCCGTGCATCACCAGCGATGCTTTGTAAGTGTCTGAGTTTCTTCTCCTCCCTAAACCCTAGCACAAGTAGATGACATTTGCAGGACCAAGCCTGAGGACTGTCCTTGCTGGGGGTCCCATGTTTGCTTCAGCTATCTTGGAACAGGCAAGCAGCTCTGACCCCCATTTCCTACTGTTTTGAGGCTTACAATGTGCTTTGCCCACATTACCCCTGTGAGAGGTTAGGGAGTGTTGGGTTTTTTTTTGCTCCCACTCTGTGATTTGTGAGACACAAGTGTGGAAATACTGATGCAGATGGCCAATCTGTACCTTTTTTAAATTATTTATTTGGTATTTTTTATTTTTCCCCAATTACATGTAAAAACAATCTTTAACATTCATTTTTAAATCTTGAGTTCCAAATTCTCTCCCTCCTTCCCCCTCTCCAATCAGTACCTTTGTAGGAGAGTTGCCTGCGACCACCAATGAAGGTACATACTTCTTTGCACCACATGGCACTTTCACGAAAACTGACCAGATTTTGGGGTCCAGAGAAATTACAAATAAATGCAAAAAGACACATATACATCCTTTACAGCCCAAAAGGCAATAAATCAGGAACACAAACTAAAGACATAGACCTAAGTGGAGACTTAGCAATGAAATCCTAAATTATAAGGGAGGCAAAGAACAAAACATGGAAACAGCAAATAATTATGTGAAAGACAATGATAATGATATGACAGTGTACCAGAATATCAGGGATACAGCTAAAGCTGCTCTCAGAGAAAAAATCCTATCCCTAACTACATATATCAAGAAAAGAGAAATCAAGAAGATTAATGAACGGTATATACGTTTTTAAAAATTAGAAACCCAACAAATAAACCCAAAATAAGACAGAAGAAGAAAATTTGAAAATCAGAGCAGAAATAAATAAGTTGGAGAGTAGCCTGTCCACTGAAAGGTAAGTGTTTCACAGTTAGTATGTGTCAGAGAAGGGACTTAAAATCAGATATTCCTGACTTCAAGGTGAGCTCTCTATCCGCCATACCAATCTGCCTCTCAGGATGACATTTATTATCCCCATTTTGCAGATGAGGAAGCTAAGGGCCTGAGAGATGCTCCTGAGGGACTCACTAGCCATGAAAGAGCCCCTTCTAGCCAATTTCCCTGAGCCCTTGAAGTCTTAGCTACCCCTGCAGCCCTTCAGGGGCCTTATCTCTCCCCACCAGATGCTAGAGAAGGATCTTTGGGGGAAATGATCAAGTTTTCCCCACCCACCTCCTCACTTCCAATGCTATCTCATTTCCTTCTCTCTCCTTCCCTCTCCGATGGCCATTCCCAGACCATCACAACTGGTTTCCATTGACCCGCTGACCTAGGGAACATCTACCATGGGTTTCAAGGGCAAAAAAAAACTCTGAAGTCATTAGGACTCTCAGTAACATGAAGGTCCCTCCAATTGACATCTACCCAACTCTGAAGTCAAAGACTACATGTGGCTGTATTTTTATCACATGATCCTCTTACCTGAAATATAACCAAAAGTCATCTCAGAGAGGAGGCTAAGCAGCTGGGAGGGGGTGGGTACAGGAAAGGCTTCCTGCAGAAAGTGGGATTGGAACTGAGTCTTGAAGGAAGCGAGGGATTCAAAGTGAGCAGGAGAGACATTGGCAAGCATGGGATAGCCAAGACAAAGGTGCAGAGATGGGAGATGGAGTGTTATGGTTGGCTGGACCTGGGGCCACCATGGAAAGGAATAACTTGCAAGGAAATGACTCTCCCTCCTCATCACTGCTTCTAGGAATCCTCATCTCCTTCGATGGAGCAAACAGAACAGCCCCTAATCCTTGAGCTGTCTCCATTCAGAGTGGGCAAAGCACATTGTAGGCCTCAAAGCATCCTCAATCCCCAGTCATTGGTGTTCTTATCCATTGGGTTCCTTTTGTGTTCATTCTGTTTTGATTTCTCTGTTTACATGTTGTATTCCTCCTTCCCCTCTTTACCTCCCCTGACCCTGATGCATGCGCACACATGGACGCGCACACACACACACACACACACACACACACATACACACACATACACACACACACACAGTGAAAAAGAAGCAGAGATGCTCTCATTTTTATACAGGTTTGTTGAACCCAGTTGGCCAAGGCTCTGTGGGGGTACAGGTAACAGATCCAGCTGTTAACTCATCTGTCAGAGGGGGCAGCATAGCTCACATTCCTTACCTCCCAGAGCTATGGTGGGAAAGTTGCTATCACCCCATTGGGTATTATTATCAGCAGCAGCATGTCCCCAAGTGGAATGGATGAGCGGCTTCAGGAGGGAGTGAGCTCCCCGCACTCACTAGAGGTGGTCTTCAAGGTGGAACCAGATGCCCATTGGTCACAGATAGTATAGAAGGGATTCCTGCTTGAGTACGGATTGTACTGGGTACCCCGTGAGGTCTTTTCTAGCTTGGAGATGCCATAAATCTCGGTGTCTGTGGGGAGGCAGGATGGCACATATACTCAGTGAGCTGTGACTCAGGTTCTTGTTTTTTCTCACCCATTATCTTGCCTTGTGATCTTGGCTCTCCATCTATAAAATGATGGGCTTGGATGTTATTTAAAGTCTCCTTTAACTCTGACATTGGTCTGGATACAAGAGACCTCTGAAGACCATTCCAGGTGAAGAACACTATAAATTTAAAATATATATATATGCACATATATACATACATAGGTATGTGTGTGTGTGTGTGTGTGTGTGTGTGTATGCACATATTAAGCATTCAGGTGTCTTTTTTCTAGCCTTGGGCAAAGGCCTAAACCTGACACCTAAGCAGATGTCATTTAGGAAAGCTAACTCCAGGCAGGCAGAGTGGGTACTTTGTGGGATCCTGTGATGAATGGAAGTTAGGAGGCCTAGGGATGAATGCCAACTCCTGCCTGCCTGGGTCTCCTTGGGCAAGTCAGAGAGGTTATTGATTCTCTGATCTCTATCTCCTCACATATAAAATGGGCCCAGACATCTGAGGAAATGAAAGTAAATTATGATGGTGAAGATGATAATATAAGGTGGAGATTGGTCCTTGGTTGTAAGGGACTGGCTGGCCTAACTGCTTCATAGTACAGAGGAAGAAAATGAAGCCCAGAGAGATAAAATTGGAACCCTTGTGCTCTGACTCCAAATCCAGAGCTCTTCCCACTACAAAATCAATACATCCATTATCCAGTCCCACAAAATAGCCCAGTCTGGGAGGGGGAGAGACCCCTGGAAGAAACAGATATCCATTCTTAGGCCAGCCGGTCCTTAGATCAAGAGGTGCCTCCCAGTTCAGGGAGGGGGTGAGCTTCTGCTCCATTATGTGCACCTGAGGATGAGCTAGGGCCAAGGGACCAGACACTGGCTGCTGTGCTACTGGGCCAGCCTTTGAGTTTATTTTCTGTGTGGTAGAAGAGAACATAGTCCAATGACTGGGAAGGGCCGGGGAACCTGGGAGCATTGCTAAATCGGCCAGCACCATCCTTCAGTCGGAGACAGGCAGCCGCCCTCCCCTGATGTTAACAATCACTATTTATTAAATGTCCCAGTCTCATTTTTTCTCATGACAGCCCTTCGGCATGTTTCTCTGCCGTGAAGATAGATGGGCTACTTGCAATATGCTGAGAAATTAACCAGGGTTTGTTCTGGATGGCGGCCATATATAGTGACCCTTATAAATCTGCCCTTTGATGCGCTGTCCTGTCTTTGTGGAGAGCTGGGGCCTTCCCAAAGAACTCCCTCTTAAGCCTCCTGCTACTTCAAGATCCAGGCTGCCAAAGGGTTTTTCCCATGTCCCCCTTCCAAGTCCTACATTCTACCCAGAGAGAGAAGAGGGAGCACCAGGAATAAAGTCTCCCCCATTCTCATCTCCGTTCTGATTTAGCAAGTTGGGGAGATGAGACACTCCCCTCCCCCCCAATCAATCAATTAAGCATTTATTAAGCACCAGCTATGTGCCAGACATTGTTCTGAGGATGTAAAGACTAGGACAGTCACTGCCCTACAGGAATTCAGATTCTATGGAAGGAGAGGGTGGGGTGAAGCCAGAACTTGTCATAGATATGGAAATACAAGCTATACAAAATAAACATTATGATCTTTTTTGGGGGGGGGGGTCAACCATTGAGGGAATCAGGAAAAGCCTCTTGAGGGAGATAGAGTTTGAGCTAAGCTCTGAGGGAAGTAGGGATTCTGAGAGGGAAAAGAGGGAAAGCATTCCAGGGAGGGTGAACAGCTTGTGTAAAGGAACAGTGTACAGAGAAGAGTGAACAAGGCTACTTTAGCTAGAACAAAGAGTATGGAAAGGGAAGGGAAAAAGCATTTATTAAACACCTCCTGTATGCTCAGTGTTGTACTAAGCACTTACAGATGTGAGCTCATTTGGTCATTTGAAGGAGAGTAAAATGCGATCTGGGGCAGCTAGGTGGCGCTGCAGTGGATAGAGCTGGGGCCTAGAGTCAGAAAGACTCCTCTTCCTGAGTTTCAATCTGGCCTCAGACACTTACTAGCTGACCCTGGACAAGTCACTTAACCCTGTTTGCCTCAGTTTCCTCATCTGTAAAATGAGCATGAGAAGGAAATGGCAAACCATTCCTGTATCTTTACCAAGAAAACCCCAAATGGGGTCATGAGGAGTTGAACATGACTGAACCAAAAAAAAAAAAAAATGCAATCCACCTAGAAAAGGCAGACTGAAGTTAGGTTGCAAAGAGCTTTAAATGTCAAGCTGAGGAATTTGTATTTGATCTTAGGGGTAGTGGGGAGCCACTGACATTTCTAGAGCAGAAGAGTGACATGTTCAGATTTCAACTTTAGAAGAGAGGGGAGAAACTTGAGTCAAGGCCACCAGTTAGGAGGCTGTGGCCATAGTTGGGACAAGAGGACATGGGGGCTTGGACTAGTGTAGTTGTGCTGTGCATGGAGAAAAGGACAGATAGAACCAAGGGAGAATAGGCAGAATTGCCAAGCAAGGGTAAGGAACCTGCAGCCTTGAGGCCACATGTGGCCTTCTAGGTCCTCAGGTGCAACCTTTTGACTGAGTCCAATTTTTGTAGAACAAATTCCTGGGAATTTGTTCTGGGAAGTTTGGATTCAGTCAAAGGTCCATACTTGAGGACCCAGAAGGCCACATGTGGCCTGCAGGTTTCCCACTCCTGGTATAGTCAATAGGGCACTGGGGTCAGCAAGACTTAGGTTCAGACCCTGCCTCAGATCAGAGGACTCTGTTTAAATTGATAGTTGAAAAGGACACTGGTATCTATCAAGTTGAAGGCCCTCATTTTACAGAGGAGGAGACTGAGGCCCGGGAGTAACTTGCCCAGCATCATGCTGTTAGTATCTGAGACAGGATTTGAACTCAGGTTTTTCTGACTCTACGTACAGTGCCCTGTCCACTGAGCCATGCTGCCTCCCTAGGAGACAATACCCTCCCTTCCTCAACCTGTTGAATTCCTCCCCAGCTTTGAAATCCAGCTTTAATGCCACCTCCCACAGGAAGGCTGCCCTGAGCTCCTCTGCCCCTTGGATCTCATGTAGAATTTGATTTGGACCTTGCATTCACTTATCATATGCCACTGTGGTTATTTATATTTGTGCAAATCTGAGCAGACCCAGGAGAAGGAAGGGATTTGCCCGTGGTCAGACACGGGATCCTAGCTCTAGAAATGGAAGAGACCTTAGAGGCCATCTAGGCCAATCCCTTCATTGGACAGAGGGGGAAACTGAGTCCCAGAGATGGGAAGAGATTTGGCATGAGTAGTAGAGCCGGGATTTGAACCCAGGTCTTTTAATTCCATATCCCACTCGCCCCACTGTATCACAGGATTATTTGGGTCCCATTCTCACAATTAGAATTCATGAGTCTTGGGGCAGCTAGGTGGTGCAGTAGATAGAGCACTAGCCCTGGAGTCAGGAGGACCTGAGTTCAAATCCAGCCTCAGACACATAACACTTACTAACTGTGTGACCCTGGGCAAGTCACTTAACCCCATTGCTTAGCCAAAAAAAAAAAAAAAGAAATCATGAGTCTAATGGGCTAGGCTGGGGGTGGGGGGTGGGAGAGCCCCATCTGAGCCTGGGACCAGTAAAAGAGAAATGAGAAAGCTAGCTGGGTACAGGTAAGACCCCCACCCCCATCCCCCACAACAGGCCTACAGAGTTGCCACTGAACTTGAGTGAGATGAGGCCCACATGCTGCATCTTCACTCAGGTGGCTTGAAGAGTCTGGTTCTAATGATGCGCTTAGTGAACAGTAACCATAACAAGACTGTAAATCCTTCCCTTCTTTTCCCCAGGTGCAGGGAACGAGGGAAGAGAATTGAGCTTTCCAAAGCTACTCTTGAGAAAGGCCTGTACGATGTCAACCAAATCCAGTCCATCGAGGAGACGATTATATCGAGTGGGGATAGGAACAAGGTACGTTTCCAGTGGGCTGTGCTGGCGGTATTCGTAACCTCATGGCCTAGGCATGAGCCGGGCCAGGCAGGGAGTGGCCTGAGCCCCACTTCCCAGGCGCTGACACCAACAGTGAGTTGCTAACTTCTCACATTCCTGCAATTCTCAAGGCCTGGGATCTGGGTTAAGTCTTTGCCATTTATAAACATTGAGTTTTTTGGTGGTGATGTCGCCTTCCCCTTTTAAGAGCCCTCATCGGGGCCTCAAGGGTCAAGCCTACCCTGGAGCCTTGAGAACATACAAACTGTGTGTCTACATCCTGGGATGCTTGCTCTGGCCACAGCTGCTTTTAGGGGGTCATGGAATCTTGGGTGCTGGGGAGTTGGGGGGCATGGCAATTGCAGGTAGCTTTGGGGGGATCAAGTGGTTACAAAAGAGGCAACCATGAAGTCATATGGCATAGAATTTCAAAGAACTTAGAGGTCATGCAGTCCAATACCCTCCCTGCCACTTACATCCACTGTGTAACATTTTTAACAAGTTCCCCCGCTCCAAAGCCAGGTAGCAGAAAAACCCCAGCATGGAGCCTCTAGCCTCCAGCCCTCCAATCTGAATGGGCAAGGAAAGGGTGATGGGGACATTGGTTTGGGAAGGTGGAGGATGATTGGTTGGTCTGGGGTGCTGTGAGGGGGCAGAGAGAGTCTGAGATGGGTAAGCAGGAGACCTGAGGGTGACCCCCAGCTATCTGGTGCTTTATGCAGTAGCCCCGTGGCTTTTCCAACTTGCAGGAAAGGCATCTCACTTAAGCTTTAGCTGACTAAAGATCCCCTTTTGGTATCCCCATCAATCTGGACATCCAGGGAAGGGGGCTTACTACCTCCTCAGGCGGTCTATTCCATTCTGAGACAGCTCACATTGCCAAGGAGTTTTTCTTGACACTGAGCCCAAAACGAGTCTCTTGGACACTTTCATGCATTGCTCCTGGCTCAGCCCTCTGAGACCAAGCTAAAGAAGACCTGTAATAATGGCTGATCAGAGAGATTTAAGGATTGTATTAGGTGAGGTCGGATCAGCAAAATCCTAAAGGCTTCCTGAAGGAGGTGGCAGTGGGCATGGGCTGTGAAAGATAGGGATGGATTCAAAGCTCTAGAGGAAGGAAGGAGACAAGCATTTATTAAGCACCTGCTGTGTGTGTGGCACTGTGCTAAGTAAGTACTTTTACAAATATGATCTCATTTGATCCTCACAACAACCAGGAGAGGAAGGTGCTGTTATTATCCTCATTGTATAGTTGAGGAAACTGAGGCAGACAGAGGTGAAGTGAATTGCCCAGCATTGTACAGCTAGGAAGTATCTGAGGCCAAATCTGAACTCAGGTCTTCCTGACTCCAGGGCCAGGACTCTATCCACTGCAGCGCCACCTAGCTGCCATAACCTCTGGAGCTCCTTACCACCGCATAGCCAAGGCTTTGAGTTTCATCTTCCACAAGTCAGGTATCTCCACTCCATTCCGTACTCACATGCTCACCAGTTGATGCCCTGCTAGTCCCATTCAGCCTTCTCAGGTGGCTTGGGGCATCTTAACCCCCACTTTGCATTATAGCATTCTGGATCTCCAGCTGGAAGGGACCTGGGAGGTCAACCACTCCAACCTCTCATTTCACACATGAGGAAACTGAGGCCCAGAGAAATGAAGTGGCTTATCCAAAGTCAGACATGGGGCACTGGATCTTGAGTTGAAAGGGCCTCCATAAAATGGGGAAAGGGGTTGACTATTGTGATTTCTGAGGCTGCTCCTAGCTCAAAATCCTGTAGGAGAGGAAATCTCCCCGAGAACACTGGAAAGGAAAGGGACAGGTATTATAGCTATTTTTCACACAAGAGGAAACTGAGGTAGGAAAGAGGGATGTACTTGGCCAAGAGCCCAGCGGTAAGTCTGTTTAATGGCTTCCCTTTCCCCCATTCCCTTTCTTGGGGCTCCAGAGATCTGATACCTAGCAGCAAACACAGCCACACTGCCCTTTCCATTCATACCTGGAGTAATTGCCAGGCCCCAGGGCTAGTCTGACCAAATGCTGGGTTAACAGCTGCCCAGGGGTTGGAGCTACCTGGGACACTCAGGCCATCTGGCATTTCTCAGGGAGGCTTTCATACCATGAGTCTAATATAAAACAGACTAGGGAGTTGGGGGTGGGGGGTGATGGAGAGGGAGAGCAGGGAACCAGGTTGATCTGAACCTTTCACTCCTGTATTATACATTATCAGCAGAGCAGTGTGGGTACATGCCACTGAGCTTGGGTGCCATTCAGGCCTAGGCTCTGCTTTAGAGAACAAGGATCTGGTGGCTGGAATTGGACTGTAGGAGATGGAATGACAGCTAGCATGGGGTTTCTATCCCTTGAAGCTATCCCAGAATCACAGGATGTCAGAGCTGGGAGGACCCTTAGAACAGGATCTCAGCTCTGATATTCCCTGTTCTAAGGGTCCTCCCAGCCCTGACCTTCTCTGTTCTAAGGCCCCTCCCAGCTCTGACCTTCTCTGTTCTAAGGGCCCTCCCAGCTCTGACCTTCTCTGTTCTAAGGCCCCTCCCAGCTGTGCAATTCTCTCGCTCCTGACATATGGATGTAGAAATAATTCCGAGGATGTGGCTCATTGTTAGCTATCCAATAGCCAAGTTTTCATTTATGAAGGATGGCACCATCCACTCGTGCCCTCCCCCAGGCTTCATCGTGAGTGGAGGTAGCCCCTCGATTGTGTGAAATGTGTCAGTGGGAACAATGATAGGATGGCCCCTTCTCTGGAATCCCCAATCAACATTGCCAACAATTTGTCGTGAGTGAATAAAACAAGGCAGCTCTCACACTAGGCGAATATTCTGTTCATTCTGTGAATTTGAGGCGTCCGTGGATGAGAGCTGGGCTGGTCAGATATGGGGAGCACTGCTGAATTGTTGTATGTCACTGTTGTGGTCTTCATAGGAATTGATTCTGGGAAATGCAACTCAATAATGAAGGCCTCAAGGAACCACTCAAGACTCAGAATGCAATAAATCAATGAACAGGCATTTAAGTATCGACTATTGATTGATCAATCAAAAAGCATTTATTAGTCCCCTACTATGTACCAGGAAATGTGTTCTGGGGATATAATAGAGATAGTCCCTACCCTCAAAGACCTTACATTTTAGGGAGGGGAGACAATATGAACACATACAATTATTCACAAAATAAAGGCTAGGGATGGGGTCTGGATCTGTGATATAATTGGTATAAGGAATTCCCACATGAGTAAACTCCCTCTACAAATATTGTTCGTCACCTTTTCTGCAAGCCCTGAGTGGTTAGGTGACTAGCTTAGGATTGCACAGCCAGTATGTACCAGGGTGTTCAGGGAGGACTAGCACCTCTGGTGTGAGGGCTTGCCGAGCCCTTTTCAGGGCTGCTCAGCCACCTCTGGGGTCCACCTGGCACCCAGCCCTCACCTGTGGCTCCTAGAAGCTGTAGCTTATGCAGCGACCACATCCCAGTAAGACTGTCTCAGCAGATGGGCTAAACCAGGCTGAGGGTAACCAACAGGCCACAAACCCATTGGTGAGGTAGAGGAGTGTCTACCTCAAGTATGTGAAGACTTCCCCTGGTAGAATGGGCAGATGAGAACAGTTTGTTCCAATGGCTATGAAGGTGGCTGAAGCAGGTGCTGTGGAGCATTTAGAGTCAGACATCGAAGATGCCAAAGTCATCCACTGCATCCCAAGCCAATGACAATCATCCTGACTTTGGTCCTTCCATTGGACTTCAGTGACTCTGGAAGAGAGAGTGAGGCCAAGTGTGCAACTCTGCCTCACTCAAATCCAGTTCACACACACATAAGTCAAGATATCACCCTGTCGGGGGCAGCGAGGCGGCGCAGTGGATAGAGCACCGGCCCTGGATTCAGGAGAACCTGAGATCAAATCCGGCTTCAGAGCAAACACTTGACACTTACTAGCTGTGTGACCCTGGGCAAGTCACTTAACCCCAACTGCCTAAAAATTAAAAAAAAAAAAGATGTCACCCCGTGATGTCATTGGTCCTCTTAGAGAATGAAGGATGGGGGCAGCTAGGTGGCACAGTGGAGAGAGTGCTGGCCCTGGAGTCAGGAAGATCTGAGTTCAAATCTGGCCTCAGACATTTGAGAGGTACTAGATGTGTGACCCTGGGCAAGTCACTTAACCCCAATTGCCTTGCAAAAAAAGAGAAAAAAGGAGAGGGAGAGAATGAAGAATGAAAAACAAGAGGCAAAACTCAAACTCAGTTTTCCTGCCTCTGAGGTGACAACTCTCACTACTACGGCACATTGGAATTTTGTAGGGGGAAGGTGGAGGAGTTCAGACTAGGCCTCATGCAGATTGTGGTACTTCAACAAGGAACCAGAGTTTAAGAAAGCTGCCACCTGAAAAAAAAAATAGAAAAGAAAAAGGGACAACTAGGTAGCACAGTGGATAGAGCTCTGGCCTTGGAGTCAGGAGGACCTGAGTTCAAATGCAGCCTCAGACACTTAATGCTTACTAGCTGTGTGACCCTGGGCAAGTCACTTAGCCCCAATTTGCCTCACCAAAAAAAAAAAAAAGCTGCCACCTGTGGGGCAGAAGCATATTTGATAAAAATCAGATCTTCCAACTACTCGGTGATTTATTATAGCTTAACAAAACAATCCCCACCCATTCTTTGACTCTTCCCCATATCACTGACAAGAAAGCAGAACAGGGATTATTCTCCCCATTTTCCAGATGATGAAACTGAGACCCCAAGAGACAAAGTGATCAGTCACAAAACTAGCAAGTGTCAGAAGCAGGCTTACAACGCATTTTCTTCAGAACTTCTTTGTAAGAGAGTCAGCGTGAGGATTATTAGTCCCATTTGACAGAGAAGGAAGCTGAGGCATAGAGGAGGAAGTGAGCTGCCCAGTTAGCATCACACCAGGGTGCCTAGCAGAGTGTCGGCACACAGTAAGTGGCAGCACCAAGTCTAGAAACCAGATCT